GGATGGATGGGTGGATGGATGGATGGATGGATGGATGGATGGATGAATAACAGTATAAATACCTGAATAACCGAACCAACATGTGTATCCTCACTGACATGCACAACATAATCCACAGGTTTGATGGATTCACCAGGATTAACAAATGAAGAACCACTCATTTGAAACAAGAACTGAGAATCACATGGAAAGCGTTCAGCCAGGAATACATCTATACGGTACGAAACACCCAACTGTGGGATGAATAGGTAATAGTTCACTCTCATACTTCAAACTAATGGACAGGGAAAATCAGGAAGAAAGCAGGAGGAATATAAAGCAATGAAGGAAGATGAGAATAAAAATGAGAAAAAGGCACAGAGGTGATTTAATCGATATTTTCGCCTCCATTTTAGCAGACACATAATATGGATAAACGTCGAATACTATTTTTTGATGGAACAAAAGATAATCTGAAATAGGAATAATAAGACCTAATGATGCCTTACCAACAATGAAATGTTGAACTGCTCAGCAGTTGCATCGCCCGCAAGTACACATTTGCCGCCTGTGACTGTACCTTGCTTTGGTACCACTATACCACCGCCTGGATAGAGAAATGAAATCAACTGACAACGATGCGTATCATTATCGCGGCAAACAATGGTAATATGTTGCAGGAGGATATTGATGGCAATGATGAAATTTGATGAAAGATCATAGTCACGTGATAAATAAATTAATACCAACTTATACAGAGGATGACACGTAATTCGACGGATAAACTTGTGGTCCTCTTTTAACGTCGCTAGTTAGGGGCGGGACAGTCATTAATGTGGTCATCCGAGCCACATGGAGGTCTAATCATTTGCACGTGATAATGAATAATAACCAAGACAATAATGACGATAGATAAAGATTATGATGACACATGGACTTGGCAATGTTAATAAATGATAATGATGGTGTACATATATTGTGATGATAATGGCACATGGGATATGATGATCACAGTCATGTCAGTGTGTCAAATGAGTTACATGACATTGTCTTTCTTGCTCCCATCTTCTTCTAATACCAACTGACCTTTCGTGGCAGCAGGGGCTAGCGATAGTGTTCTGCAGGGTGTGGCAGATGTACCAGGATTATGGAATAGTTGCACCACCATCTGTCTGTTGATAAATACCCATAGTTCCTCACCACCAGCGAACGAAAACTCCTCCTTGCCAGTAAAGGTGAATGTACCCCTTACTACTGTTGTGAAACTATACAAAAAACACAAAGTTATTAGTGCCATTTTCATAAACACACGATACATTAATCGACGAACGTTTACGTTTTTGACTTCTGACTTTTAAAATAACAACTAAACACCACCAATTTTGGGTACTAGGTATTTGGCTCGCTGGTTAATGTGCAATAAGAATGACTTTACACAATGTATTGAGCATTTGAAAATAAGGATAACTAGCAAAAGGGACTTGTTTTATGAAAGTAGCGGGATTTCTTTAGCTGTTAGGTAACATGGGATAGTAATTAACATTTATTTACTGGGACCGAGGGAAACAGTATGTATTGTGGTCCCGAGACCGCTAATGTTTAAACATCAGCGGTCGAGGGACCACAAAACATACTGCTTTCCCGAGGTCCCAGTAAATAAGTGCTTTATTATCATACCAAATGTCAAAGAGAACAACAAAATCGCGAAGATTCCATGTTTAATCTGATGTTTCGTGAAAGAAAACGTGTGAATGAATTTTGCAAACGAGCGCTCAAATGTGTTGTTTTCTGGTTTCCGGTTTTTATATTTTTCAATCACGGGACTTCCGGTTTTGTTATTCCCGGTCCATAACATAATATTCCCCTCCCAGAATGGCCGCCAGGAAACAGTCGAAATTCTTCACGTTCACGTGACACACTCTCGACCAATAGAAATTGAGAAAAATAGAACTTTGACACTTGGTATATAATAATACTGATTATCAGTCCATGAGGGAGGGAATAATACACCTGAAGAGAAAATCCTGCTAGCATGGGAAATAAACAAAATGACAACTTCCATAAATGATAAAACAAATACTTTTCATATTGAACTTGGCACTTTTGACCAACTTACCCATAATTCCGCAGGGCATTAGAATGACAATCTCTCTGTCCCTCGGCACCAAATCCCCGTCCGTCCACGGGGAAGAACTTTGAGTTATAATAACGATATATTGCTTGTCCATTGGAATCCTTTTCACTAGTCTTTCCAAGTTCAATAGTTCCATCATACGGGCGATTGCGAGCGGTGTCTGAACGAAACCACGTTGAGAATGAGTCTGCTGAAGGAGTCAACGAGATCGCCAGCCAGCTGCCGAAAGGGGAGGGGATGTAACGGGGATTCTTGAAGTCCTCACGGTAATTGACACCAACAAAATCACTATCCGAGAAACTGCAATCAAAACAGTAGTATACTCAGTTTTTAATTTCACAACGATTTGCATAACAGAGCTAGTGGCAGGGGAGATGGGAGGAGGAATAGAAGGCCGAGAGAACCTCTTCCTCAAGAGCCTGTTTACAGGCTAAATAAATGTAGAAACTGAAATTCTCTCATAAATGCTCAGAGTATTCGTCGCTATTTAGCAACTAGTCGTTCGAGCACGAATGGGCTATTGACTATTAGACCTTGAGGACGAGAGGACTAATTGTTTTGGTCAAATCCAACTAGTCGGTCAAATATTTAGATGCAAACGAGTCTTGAATTAAAGTTAAATTCAATTTTTTTTGCTTTTAAAAAGGGCACTTTTCCTTACTAAGCTCATCCATTCCGAATGCAGCATTGATGGTAGACCACTCGTTGGATTTCACTAAAGATATTTGGTGCTGCTGATACTCATACGTTCGTACCCACGTTTGGCTGCAGTAGGTACTCGTTCGTAGTTACAGTTATTTATCAGTTGCTAAACTAAAGATCCACTCCTGTGTGTGTCAAAGTATTTTCAGGAGCGGAGAATCATCTTCCAATAAACCGGTTTAAAAACTTTGAAATTTGCACCTTGCCCTGCGAAATTCGCTGAAAATCATTACCACGGGGACTTCTTCTTTGCAAAATATACTTCAACTTCCTATGGGTAGCATGGGTGGCGTTCGCGTCGTCTTTCAACGCTGTGAGTCCAACAGGTCGGGTCGTTGGTTCGAGTCCTGCGGTCGCCAAATGTGAATTGAGTTTGTTTGATGTGTTTTTCTCTCCTATGCTACGAGGGTTTCTTCGGGTTCTCCGGTTGTGTGCATAGAATATTTAATGTAGTGGTAGTGCGCGTGAGCAAAAAGTGTCCCCAATTAGTGCGAAAGCGCTAGAACTACTAGACACTTAAATAAAAGTGAATTATTTATTATTCCTCGTGGCCATGGATATCAAAACACCTACCGGAAGTCATAATAAGTTGCATTCAAGTAGAAGTTCTCAGGGTTCATTGAAGTGTTTGTTGTCGGCGCTGGGGAGAAATAAATAAATGACTTATGAAAGTTCTCTCGATATCAACCAACTGAGGTTCAAACTTACCCTTCCCCTCCACAGTAGTCAACGAGGTTTCCTCACTGCGGGGCGTGGTTCGTGTTAGTACGACTCCCAGGGGTATCCCCACCTCTACTGTACCGTTGTGGGCAACGACAGTCATCTGTACGTAGCACGTGTAATCTGTACCAGCCTTGACTCCGTCAGCCTGGATAAACATCATCATTATTATCATTATCATCATTATCATGCATCATCATCATTATCAATATCATCACCAACATCATCATCACCATCACCATCACCATCACCATCTTTTACATCATTCTCATCTAAATCACTATCATCATCATCACGATAAACTAAATTAACTGTAGCTTACATTTAGCCACAAATGTCTGGGGTTTTTAGGCACCAAAACTATTACCTTAGTAAAAAGGTAGAAGGTATCAGATGTCACACCCGTCACGCTAGGGGCATCAGCGCTGTAACAAGTGATAGTATATGTCACGTTGATAATTTTGGTCTGGTTCCAGGTATCTGTTGTCACGTTTCCGGTTGTGTTTTGTACGGGATATAGTTCATCTGGCTTGTCCCACTTTACCCTTATTTGGAAATCAGCCGGTGCGGACGCAGTAATGTTGACTGGTGCTAAAGCAAGAAGTAAATGAAAATGAATATACATTAAAATAAAATAAGCCTTTAATAAACATGACCACGAATATTCAAAATTGTTTGCCACAAAAAAACAAAAAAAAAACAAAAAAAACAAACGAAAAAACAAAAAAACAAAACAAAACAAAACCGGAAGCAAAGCAAAGCAAACAAAAACAAACAAACAAACAAACAAACAGACAGACAGACAGACAGACAGACAGACAAGTGAAAGAAAAAACTTACAGCAAGTGAATTCCTGACGGTATGTAGTCTCGTAGCTTCCCCCGGGGTAGAACTTTACGCCGGCTACCCGAGGTGGTCCGGCACACACCGCAGCCCGACCAGCATTGAGGGAAGAAATCACTGAGACGAACGAGTTGTACACATTGCAGTCACACTGAAGTTGATTCGAACCACTCATATCGCTAATAATAACAATAAGATTGTGGTTTACTAATTTGGAACCCTGAAATTTGTAACCAAGGGCGAATTTGATAAAGAGTAGAGGACAAAACTGAGATAGGAAAAAAACGAGGAAAAATCTCCCTGATTTCAATGGTCATGCGCAGTGAGTTAATCAACAGTTAAAAATTGTTCGCACACGACAAATCGGTTGCAGTTAGGGGTTTGTTTGTGTGAAAAATTGGCAGCCGTTAGTCAAGTGATATTTCTATTGCATACGACCACAGTCTGTAGAAAAGCGTTAGTTTCGCCGCAAAAAGCAATTTAAACATTATCAAAGAAGAGAAAACAGAAGTCGCATACTCACAGAGTTGTCAAACGGCTCAGTTCTCCGAAGGCGTTCTGCCCTATATTGGTTATCTTGTTGTCTGATAGGTATCTAGTATTAATGAAAGATACTTGATTTATTAATACACTGCGTCTGTCGATCCAGGTGTAAGATACGGACCTTGAGAAATGCTAAACATTCCTTAATCATGCTAACATATATCATACCCATTTTACTACAAGTAATACTTTAAAGAATACTCACAGAAATTGTAGATTTCTTAAGGAAGGAAATGTAGGAACAAATTCGATGGAATTTTTCTGAAGGTACCTAGAAAATAATACAGCTTTCCAAATCAGCCAATCGCAACTACCACCTCTTCCTATCCCATAGTGCAACATACCGCATAATATCCCGTCCCATACCAACCCAATTCTATACCCTATCCAACTCTATTTTATCCCATCTTACCTCAACCCACCCTACCTATCCCATACTACCCCAGTCCATCTCACCCTACCCCATGCTATACCAACCCAATTCTATACCCTATCCAACTCTATTTTATC